AGAGAGAGAGAGAGAGAGAGAGAGAGAGAGAGAGAGAGAGAGAGAGAGAGAGAGAGAGAGAGAGAGAGAGAGAGAGAACTTGAGATCTGTCGGATACAACCAGGAAAGTTCAAGTGTGACCATTGCCCCGACTCCCCGTTGTGGATTCCAAACTGGGAGCGGGGACATTCCGACCAAGCAGAGCGGGCAGACATCATACCGATTAGTACTTGTGCTCAAGAGCAAAGAAAACGAATGTCATTCAAGTTGGGTACATAATAGGTGTGTCTGTGGGCAAAGGTATAGTAATCAAGGGTGAGGGCGAATAATTTGACAGCTACCTCCCTCCCGCTGCTGCCTTTTTTTTCCCGCTTCTGACATTTTTATGTTTTGTTTTTTTTTTTGGTAGTGTTTGGTTAATGTCGAAAGGGGCTCGCTGCCTTTGCTTCTTCCCGGGGTGTGTGTTGAACATTCCCGGCCTCTCCTTACTTTGGTTTGTGGAATCATAAAAACAAAGGGAAAATTGCATTTATATCCCACTTCAGATGGGAATACCTTCTATACCCAGTCCCAGCACAAACTTGCATCTACCGAACATTTTCTCTATGCGAAATTGTAGCTGTACCCAACCACGCAGGCCCTGGGATTCAGAGCACGAAATTGTGCTCATGCCCACCTAGTAGACCGGCTGCCGGGTATGAGCATAATTTCATCCATTCGGTAGCAGGGTATATGAACAATTTGGCAGCTCCTCCTCAGGTCCCGTGTATGCCCATAATGCTATGGGTATGTCCATAATTTGTGCATTCCTATAGTTGGTTATAACTGCCATTTTGAAGTACGAACCTGGGTGCACCTCGGTCCTGGGCATGCAAGCAATTCCCACTTGCCGTTTCTGGGTAGATGCAAGATGGCGCTGGGACTGGGGTACAAATGCAATTTCCCAACCCAAAACAAAGAAAGGGCCTCGCTCCACCTTCCAATGCGAAAAGCGAAAAGCGAATGTGCAAAGTGAAACTGGATCTTCGCCCCTTCCATCCCCCGCGAACTGTGTCCCTGGGAACAGGGGCATGGAAAGTGCGCTGCTTCGGCGAAAGCCCGCCGTCCTGGCTGCGCCCCAACACAGAGTGGTTATGGGTCAGATCCCACTAGCCCCTATTGTTCATTTATGACCGTTGATTTTCGTAATCGCGGGTGAAAAATGAATAATCCAGGGTAGTGGGATTTGACCCTAAGTGTTCAACAGAACAAAGGGCACTCCTCCTCGACCTCTGCCTTGCTCCACTACTCACCACACACACAAAAAACAAAAAATATGGTGGTGCATCTTCGCATGTTCTAGCAGAAGATTCGTTCTCATTTCGCACAATTGGTGGGCAATTCGCAGCCAGGATGGCTGCGTATAGATGGATGTCTTTTGTCGTTTAGCGGTCGGTTTCCGTATGGGGAATGTCGTCGACCGGGTAAATGGGTTTAGAGGGCGTCGTTGCGCGAGAAATAGGGTTGCGGTCGCCAACCGGGCACCGACCGTTAGTCTTGCGAGGGAGCGTGGGAGCGGCCGCAGGAGAATGGTGGCGTGCGTCCGGTCGTACTGTTGCCTTCCAGATATAGGAATGTTTTTATGTTATCCGACCATTCGTTCTCCACTGAGATCCAGGGTATCAGTTCGGCCAGTCTATGTTTTTTTCAGTTCCCCCCCCCCCTCAACTATCTGCACTTCTCCATAAACACGCCCGGATTCGTGTGTCAAATCCTCACCTCGCCTTTTCACTTCCCCCCCCCCCCCCMTSTGTCTGCACTTCTCAACGCCCTGGCAGTCCCGTGCTGCTAGCTGCCGGCTACCGTAGTCCCCTCCCGTCGGCCGGGCTCACCAGGTCCTCGATGAAGCATTCGGCTGCGTAGGCAAGTATGTCTATTGCAGCGCGAGAGCTAGGGTCTTTGGAGAGTGGAGAGCGAGAATGCGCGGGGGTGGGACGGGGCGGCCGAAGGAGGTTTCGAAATCACGCCGACGCGGGAACGGGCATGGTGGGTTGGGGGTAGCATGAGGGCTGGTCGAGTTGTCGAAGGTTGAGCCTGCGATCTGTCGGGCGGATCCAGGTGTAGTGGCTGCTTTTCCGTTTGGGGAATGTCTGTCGTCATTTCGAGTGCACCGAGACAGCTGCGTTGTCCAGCTGCATTCACAATGTTGTCGGATGGTGAGTCGTGCTGAGACTTGGCCCCAGGTCTCGCGTTCTACCGAGGGACTATCGTCTCCACCTGCAAGGTGAGATGGGACTTGTTAGTATGAGCTCGGCGGTTCCCCGGCCGTCCTGGCTGCGCCCCCATGCCATGTGTGGTATCAGTGGAGGGAGGCCCCTTAGCACGGCCCCTGCGTAAGGATGACACACATAAATCGAGAGGTGGTACAAGGGCGCTTCCGCCCAACAGGTGTCACAGTCATCATGTCATGACCGTATACAGTCTAATTTCCGGTCTGATGCAGTCATGATGGGGTGCGTTCTGTCCTTCGGGACATCCGTTAAAATTGGAACGATACAGAGAAGGGGCCTCGCTGTACTACTCTCGACATGCACAAAAGACAAAAATCATGGCGGTGCATCTTGCCATATTCTAGCGGAAGATTCACTCTCGTCTTGCACATTTCGAGAGTAGTGCAGCGAGGCCCAAGGGTAGATTAGCCCCTGCGGAAGGATGACACGCATAATCGAGAAACGGATGAGGTGCGTTGTTTTCGGGGGAGGCGGTGCTTTGTCAGCGTGGGTGACCGGACAAGTGGGCTACCAGGCCTACCGGTGGCGTGCCCACCTGGTTAATTAACCCGACAAGGGCCGGTAGGTCCCACTTACACGAATTAAGAGATATTGACCGTAGATAGCACAGATCAACGGTCAGAATCTCGTAATCCGTGCAAGTGGGACCTATCGGTAGCCCCCGACAAAGATTGCTACTGGTAGAGGGGTGTACTATTGCGTGCAGATATTATAGCCGCAACCTTATCGATTGTGGAGCCGACGAGGCGGCGCCGCACCCCGCCGAGGCTGAAAACCCCATACCCACACCTGCGAACGGAGCAGGGTTGGGAGGGGCGGTGCCTCCCTGCCACGTGTCTTGGCCCCCTTGCCACGTGGCTTCCTCCCTGCCACAGGTCACGGTAAACAGCTCACGAGTTCGAGTCCTGAGGCCACTTGGTAGCTTGCCCCCCTGCCACGTCTTTTGCTGCCTACGTGGCTTGCCCCCCTTGGCACGTGGCTTGTTCCCTGCCGCTGGTCACGGTAAGCAGATCAGGAGATCGAATCCTGAGCCCACTTAGAAGCTTGCCCTGCTGCCACGTGGCTTGCTCCCTGCCACAGGGCGCGGGGCGATCACGATGATAAGGCACAATGAGACAACCGAGAAGACAACGTCACAGCTCGTCTCTCTCTCTCTCTCACACACACACACACACACGCACACACACACAGACACACACACGGCGATAAGAGCACGACATGTGGTGACAATATGGGCGACAGGGAGACGACACGTGGCGACAGCAGAGGGCGACGAGACGACGACACATGGTGACACCAAGAGCTTCGGCGCCGACTAGGTGTGTGCCGGTGAGTGAGAGGTGAGGCGAGAGTAGCTTAGCCATCTTTCCCTCGAACACAACGCACCCTGATCATGAAGGTATGTGGCCTATTTTTACGGTCTGATACAGTCATGATGAGGGTGCGCTGTGTTCGGGGAAAGATGGGTAGCGCTGATCGGTAGCGATAATGCACACGTGTGCGTATGTGTGTGTGTGTGTGTGTGTGTGTGCGTGTGTGTGTGTGTGCGTGTGTGTGTGTGTGTGTGTGTGTGTGTGTGAGAGAGAGAGAGAGAGAGAGAGAGAGAGAGAGAGAGAGAGAGGTTTTACCAACAACATTGACAGAAGAATGATAATAATGAGGTGATCGTTTTTGTCGGTTGACGTCAACGCTCGGAATCGAAGAGGGGGACGTTGATAATGACGACGACGACGATGATGATGATGATGATGATGATGATGAGGAGGAGGAGGAGGAGGAGGAGGAGGCGGAGGGGTACGAGAGTGTGAAGGGAAAGAGAATGGGGTTGATAATGATGGATGAAGAAACAATGATTTGGATGACTGCCTGACCTGCGCCTTGGAATCAGTTGGCCAATGATCAATCTTTCAATAACAATTCAATGAATCAATCAATTAAACAATCAATCAATTAACCGAGATGCCAACCAAAACGCCAAGCATGAAAGCAATCCGATTTTCCCATGGATTAGAAATGTCAAAAATGCAGAAAGAAATGCACGAGGGTTTAATTAGTCTGGATGAACCAGGTGGGTCCAATCAATGGCTGTGATTTCCTTGCTCTCTCTCTCTCTCTCATTTTCGTTGAGGACTGGCCCACCCAATTTCTTGCTCCCCTTTTCTATCCCCTCCCCTCCCCTCCCCTCCCCTCCCTCTTCCCCTCCGCCCCTCTCTCTCTACCCGTTCTCTCTCTCGTTGTGTTCTCTCTCTACGCGCTTTCTCTTTCTCCTTCTCTCTCTCTCTCTCTACCCTCTCTCTCTCTCTCTCCCCGCTTTCTCTCTCTCACCGCGTTTTTTTACTCTCTCTCTCTGTGAGGATGCTGGCGCGACGGCCCTAATCTCTCATGGTCACTCAGTAGTATTACGATCACTAACATCTAGCTGACCCTCTCTCTCTCTCTCTCTGTGGAGCGTGCGCACGCGCGCTCTCACACGTACGGAGGTGCGGAGATGCGCGTATGCCGTAATCCATACGGGCGTCAGGATTGCGGTTCATTCATGGAGTAACAAAATTAAAGGTCAACAATGCGTAGTGAAACAAAAGACCAACCCGTCCCCCCCCCTTCTCCTCCCCCGCCGAAAAAAAAGACAGAATATCCTGCTTACCTTCGCTTCGGCTCCCTTTCTTTTTTCCCTTTTCCGTTTTGGAATTTGCTTTCTCCTCTCTCTCTTCTACTTCTTCCTCTTCTCCCCCTCCTTCCCTTTTCTTTTCCTTTCTCTTCTTCTTCTTCCCCCTCCTCTCAGAAAACTGTCGTTAGTCTCTCTATGGCTTTTCGGAGACCTCGAGTATACGCGCGTCGGAATCTGAAACCAATCAATCAATCAATCAATCAACCAATCAATCAATCGATTGACGGATCAATCACACAATCAATCAATGAAATGATGAGTCAATGAATCAATCGACTAATGAATCAATGAATCGATCAATCGATCAGTCAGTCAATCAAGTGATGAATTAATCAATGAATTAAATCAATGAATTAATCAATGAATGAATCAATCAATCGACAGACCTATTGAAGCTTACGCGAGGATTTGGTTGGTTTGATCAATGGATCAATCAGTGAATCATATCAATCAATGAATTAATCAATCAACGACTCGATCAATCAACGAGTCAATGAATCAATCGACCGACCCATTGAAAGCTTACGCGAGGTTTTGATTGATTTCGTCAACGAAACAACCAATCAATTGACCGACCCATTGAAGCTTAACGCGAGGACTGAAGAACCAATCATCGATCGATTGGTCCATCAAGCTTTTACCGCCCTTCCGGGTTACTTAGTGTCTTGGAAATTGAAAAAAAAAGGTTTTACCGCGCTTCTTGCCCCTCCTATCTATCAATCATTCAATCAATCAACCAATCAGTCAACCAACCAATCAATCAATCAACCAACCAATCAATCAATGGATTCAACGATTAATCGATAGATCGAGTGATCAATCACTCAATTAATCGGTGGATCAATTGATCAGTAGATGAAACTCTCGCAATCAAACAACCAATCAATCTGACTTGAAAGCAATCAATCAATCAATCAATCAATCAATCGATCAATCAGTCAATCAATCAATCAATCAGTCAATCAATCAATCAATCACGAAATTGAGTCAATCAATCAATCGGTGAATCAATCAGTCCCTCAATCCATCCATCCAGCCAGCCAGCCAGCAATCAATCTATCAATCAATTAATCGATCCTAATACAGATCAGTATATTGAAAGCTCTCGCAAAAACAATCAATTAATCTGGCTAGAAATCAATCAGTTAGTGACGAAATCGAGTCAATCAATCAATCAAAAGTCAATCTGTCAGTCCATCCATCCATCCGTCCATTCATCAATCTATCAAACAATTAATCAATTAATCACTTAATCAAGTAATCAATTAATCAAGTAATCAATCTTTACACAGTCGGCCAATCATCACGTTGCCATTGCTGCTGATTGATGGCAGTTGCTGCTCCTGATTACACTTGCGTTGCTGCCAATCACCGACGATTGCCCCGCTGGCGTTTGCTGCTGATGACACGTGGCAGTTGCTGCTGATTACACGAGGCGGTTGCTGGCTATTACCTAAAATTGCTGGCATTTGCTGCTGCTGATTATAATGACTGGGCGTTCTATTTTGGGCGAAGACGGTAGCGGACAACCATTGTCATCATCTGGTTAATCCTCGACGGCGCATCCTCCAAGAACGTTTCAAGCATGTTTTAATCAATTAATCAGTGATTTAATCAGTCAATCAATCAATCATTTGATCAATCAATCAATTAATCAATCAATCAACCAATCAATCAATCAATCAATCACGGTAGCGGACAATCATGATTATCATCTGGTTAATCCTCGACTGCGCGTCCTCAAAGAACCTTCCAAGCATGATCTTATCAATCAATCAATCAATCGATCAATCAATCAATCAACCATTTAATCAATCAATCAAAGAATCGATCTATTAATCAATTAATCGACGGTAGCGGACAATTATTATCATCTGCTTAATCCTTGACCGCGCGTCCTCGAAGAACTTTCCAACCATGTTCTAATCGATCAATCAATCAATCATTTAATCAACCAACCAATCATTTAATCGATGAACCAATTTTTTAATCTCTTAATCAATCAATCAATCAATCAATCAATCAATCAATCAATGAACCAATCAACCACTTAATTGGATTAACGATGGGACGAAGGCCGCAGGTTTTTTCTTTTTGATGGGGGTTCGAGTGGTCGACCCGGTTTTTCTCGAAGGGACACTTTTTTTTTTACCCTTTTTTTTTCGTTTTTGGAGAAAACCAAAAAGGGGTAGTGGTGGTGGGTTAAGCTTTCGACTGCTTCGCGAAGTGACCCACTTTTTTTTCCCTTTCACATCTGACTCGAACTGGCGATCTGTTTGCTAACAGTTACAGGTCTATGTGTGTGTGCCACTCAGCCGCCACACGGGCTGAGTCCAAGCGAGAACATCTGCTGCCAACTGTTGCCCGTCTTAACCCGAATAAAACGCACTGTCATTATAGCTGTATTTGGGGCATCTTTCAGTCTAGATACGGCGAAAAAATGACCGTACGTTGTATTCGAGTGACGACGGGTAGTGAGTGATGTTCAGTTGGGACCTGCCTATATTCTAATTGCTTTCGACAAGCGGCCTCAGCACTCGAATCCGTGATCTGTTTACCAACTGTAGCTGCTGGCAGCAAGTGGCCTCTAGAGAAAGGCAAAGTGGCATCAGTCATTGGGCCGAGCTCGCCTGCGTTATAGGTGTGAAAAACGCAGAGCTATGCACCTGGGCGCAATATTGGAGAAGAGGGAGGATTGAGCGGAGAGGAGGGAAGAGTAAGGGGGAGGAGGGGCGGAGGTAACTTACGGCGGAGTAGTAAACCCTAAACCATCACGCTGTAGGGGCCAGGGCCCTCTTGGTGTTTTGACACTCTTTTACTTTTTTTTTTTTTAAATATATATTTTTTAAGCCGAAAGAAGTCATTTTTGACACTCCTTGTTTTCTTGTGCTTTTTCTTGTCTTTTTTTATTATTATTTAATTTCTCGATTTATGCGTGTCATTATTGCTCATGGCCATGCTAATTAAATTAATCTTCTTTCTCTGTATCGTTCCAGTCTTAACAGAATGCCAAAGGACTTTGCCTTGCTTTTTTCTTTTCCTCTTTGCGAGGCCAAGGCCCGATGAGCCCCTTTTTGGCTCTGATATGCATCGGCCGCCCTAAGTGAAGGCAGGCTCGACGAGGGCCTGAGGGCCCCTATTTCGGTGGCCGCGCAACTGAGGAAAATTCAGGCGGTTGCGCAGCACCAGTTATGGAAGGCAGGCCCTGGGCTGGATACGGGATCTGGGCCAAACACAAGCCGAGGACAGTTGGGCACAAGTAACCACCACAGGCCCTGGGCCTGATTCGTTTGGACTGGGCCTCAGCCTACTGGGGCCTACGGGAAGCTTCTTGGGACAGGCCCATCGCAGCAGCTGGCAGGCCACTTCCATATAGCAAAGGGCCTGCCTCCACATTGGAGATTCGGGTGCTGGCTGAATTCTGCGCAAGCGCTGCTGCGCTGAAGCTGGCTTGCACTCACGCGCTCACGGGCGAGTTGGAAGGAGCAGGCAGCCATAGCCRAGCTGCGCTGCTGTAGGCTGGGTGTGGCGCATGGTGGTCCTTGGGTGCATGTGGCATCTGTGTGTTGGGGAACGAGGTTGTGAGTGATGCGAGAGACATACCTGGTGCTGGAAGCGTGCGGCATTGTCCGCTGTCTGCTCGTACTTCAGGAGAGCTGTTGTCGTCATTTTCGGCATTGTAGTCTAGGCTAGATAGGATCTGCCATCTGTAGTCTGGGCGCCGAGCGCCAGATAGGATATCAACATTGGTTCTTCGTTGATGATGATGATGAGACTATTTCAGCATTGTCAATTATGAGCTTCTGGTGTATTCTTATTTGGTGAAACTTGTGATGCAATTCTGCTTTTGGTTCGAGGTCACGACWATCTGGTCTTATGTGTATGATGCTGTTTGATTGCTTAAGTTCGCTATTGCTCATCTTCCTTGCATCTTTCTTTCCCCCCCTTGTTGTAGCGTGTCAAATGTTTTTGTCAATTAATTGAGAAAAAAAATCCTCCGGGAGGGAAAAAAAATAAAAAACAGAAAAAAGAAGAAAACAAGAAAAGAAAAGAAAACAAGAAAAAAAAAGAAAACAAGAAGGAAAAAAAAAAGCGAAAAAAAGGAGAAAAAGGCGGAGTATCACACCCAGCCCCTGGGGCTGAGTTCACCACACTTGTAACTGTTATAGAAAGCATTCGAATCCCGTTGAATCAGATGAATGGGCAATCAGGTTAGGCACTAACCCCTTTTTTAAAGACACCCACACACGAAAAAAAAAAAAAAAAAAAAAAAAAAAACTCGAACGCACAGAGGGTTTGAACAGCCTCATTGCAGTTTTCTGTATTTCTCGAAGTTGTCCTGATCGTTGTTTTCCCCCCCTCGCCCCATTTTTTTAAGTCGTTCTGGTCTCTGTTTGTTTTCCCTTTTTTTTTAATTTCCTTTTTGCTGTGCTTCTTTTCCCCTTTTTTTTTTTTGGTGGGGGGGGGTCATCCTGATGCACAAGCTGTTCTTGTGTCCTTGTGTATGTCCATTACTCTTGCAGGAGGAAAAAGTGCGGGGTGTCATGGCCTGCTATGCTATGTATACCTACAAGTAGAGAGGTGGGGTGGGGTCTATTCGAGGGTGTGGGAGACGAAGAGGAGATGGGTAGCGAGGGTGAGTTTTGCGAGGAGGGGAGAGAGGAGAGAGAGAGGAGAGAGAGGAGGTGTTTCCTAAGTTCTAAGGAGGTAGGTTGTCGGGTCCGGTCTTTCATTCCGAATGGTAAGAGGCTGGTGCAACAGAGAATGAGTGCGTGTTGGGAGAGGAGAAGATGGGCAGAAGGACGGGTGTTGGGAGGAGGTAGAGGGGATGGATGGCGAGGGGGACAGGGTTTTGGGAGAAAGGGAGATGGTTCCAAAGCTCTAAGGAGATAAGAGATAAGCTGACTGGCCCTACCTATATGCCTTCCATTATCAATAGGAAGAGGTGGGTGGTGCAGCAGGGGATGGGGTGCTCTAGGTTGTTCTAATTGAACAGTAAACGCATGAGCAAGAAGATGTGCCTTGCATTTGTCGCGTTCATTTGAGCCCCACCCCCTCGTCTCTTCCCCCTTTTCTTTATGGTCTATTGCTTATCGCCATCCCCACCACTCTTTCACCTCTGTTGATATCGATGGTTCCAAGACCTTTCAGTTGAAGAGAGAGAGAGAGAGAGAGAGAGAGAGAGAGAGAGAGAGAGAGAGAGAGAGAGAGAGAGAGAGAGAGAGAGAGAGAGAGATTGCTTCATCCGGGAGGAAAGGTAAAGAGGAAAAGGTGAAAGCCGAGGATCCATGGCAAGAAACGAAGGTATAAGGGACAGGAAAGAAGTGTGAGGTGGAGACTGTGAACCCGTGGGAAGAAACGAGAATGCGAACGATGGAGCGGGACTGCGCGCCATGTGGCAGCCTCTCTTCTGTGCTGGGGGGATCGGAAGAACATGAACGTCCACCATTGACATCAACAATGTGGACAGGTTGGCCCAGTTCTGCTGATCACTCCCAAGGAGAAAGCAAGAGGATGCAAGCCCAGCCGCGAAGTAGCTTTGTCTGCAGTCAACAGGCTCAGCAGCAGGAGCACTGTCGGCAGCAGTATCAGCAGCAGCATCGGCCGCAGCGTTGGAAGCAGCTGCAGCAAGAGGATGAAGACAATGTATTTTTATCACTTGAGAGCATGTCACTGGGGTCTTCATCGCAGTTGCTGTCACCTTGGTGGCCATGGTCTTCGTGTCTCGTGTTGTTGTTGTCGTGTTTGTCGGCCTTGGTGCGATTCCAGTTGTCGCCGTGTTTGCTGCGCTCGCTTGCCAGAAGATGCTGCATTGTAGCATTCATTATGCTTGGTGCGGTGGTGGTATCTTCGGTCGCCGGCGAACTGCCAGCACGCGATTATGGGTCATGCTCAACCATGGTGAACTCATGGGTGGAGAGGCAGATTGCAGTCATGAGAGAGCGCGAGTCCGTTGTTTCTCCGGACCGTAATTATCCATGGAAAATCAAAGATCTTCTCTTCTTCTTGCACGTCCCCCGCACAGGAGGAAGATCTTATCACCATTGCTTCTTGAAACCCATGTTTACGCCTCTCGAGAGGTGCCCGAGGTCGTACGACATGCTGCGGCTGAACCTTGGGCAGCCGCGGTGCCATCTTTTGTCTTCGCATGATGACTACAGCTTGGTCACAGAGAAGCTCGGAACGATACAGACCACGATCACAACCAACTTGCGAGAACCCGTCGACAGAGTGCTGTCGGCCTACGAATTCATCCTCGAAGTTGCGTCCCGTGTGCTGCCCATGGGAGAGGCCCAGTGGAAGGAAGCAGAGCGTAACAGAACCATCGCAAAGGCCATGGCCACCAAAAAAAAAACCAGCGTTGGACCCGTGAAAGACCAGGTGTCTACGATGGATGTCTGGCCTTGGAGCCGTCTTGTGCCTTTCATGCTCGGCGATCTCTGGCCGAGGGTGCAATTGCGTCCTCAACTTTATATGCGGAAACAAGCTATAGTGCAACCGCAGCCACTCAATCTCTCACAGCTGCCGCCTCCACCGCCACAGCAGCATCCCTTCTGGCTGGCACCCTCTCCTCCAGGCTTTCCCATGTACAATAACAGTCTTGTTATGCCTCTGTCGGAGTTTGTCGATCATCCCATCGTCTCCGACCTGCTCCACAATGGGGCCACCTTCCAGGTTGCAGGACTGACCAGCAATTCCTATGACCAGGAGGCGCAGGACATACGCGCATGCATCTCCTTGTTTCCTATTTTGGGGGAAAGCGTTCTCGACCTGGCGAAGCGTCGACTCAAGTCCATGCCGTTTGTCGGTCTGACTGAGCACCATGAAGAATCTGCCATCATGTTGGCCACCACCCTGGGGAGATATATGACTGGTAGGGGCGGAGGTAACCTGCAGGGGGTTGCACAACCCCCTTCCAAGCGTTATTCTGATGCTGTAGCAAGGACCCTCGCGATTCTGAGAAAAAGCAAGCAGCCTAGAGACAGAGCGGGGATTCTGGCTATGTCAGCGTTTCTCCAAAACTTCCAGACAAGTTTTCCCAACGAGTCACGCTTACTGCAGGTCTACCGTACATGCGTGGCAGACCAGAAGGAAAAGTACATCACCCGGCGCGGCGCGGCCTTTCGAAATTTGTGGCCCATCTGGTTCTCAAAGGAGACCCGCATGCAGATAGCCGCTGATGCCCTTGAGCGGGTTCGAACTCTGAATCACCTGGATATGAAGCTGCACGCTTATGCTCAGGAACTGTTTAATCAATCTCGGGCAAAGCTCGCTGCTGTCCTCCATGGGAAGGTTGAAGTCCAGAGTACAGTCGCAGAAGGACAGGAGGGTGCGCCGCCTCTCGAGCTGCCGATGGCAGGGAGCATCGTGAATGACAATGGTGACGCCACGTTATCCCCTGGAAGGACGGGTATGACGGAGGAAGTCTCGTCCATAACGCACGGGAGCATCTTGAATGACGATGGTGACTCCACGTTATCCCCTAGAAGGATGGGTATGACGGAGGAAGTCTCGTCCATAACACATGGGATCTTGCCCCCTCAGAAGGTTCTGAATAGAGAGTCAGGCCCCTCGAAAACCGACCAGGTGGCACCCGAGATGGGTAGTGAGAACTCAACCCCCGTCGTGAGGAGATATCTGCTGGATCCTGCAAGAAGGTTTCAGCAGAACCCAGGCGGACTCCTTCATAACAGCGATCGGAAAGACCCGAAGATCCAAGAAGCAGCAGACCGTACGATCGCAGCGAGTTTGATGCGAGAGGAGGCCGTTGCTCCCGCTCATCACCAGGGGCTGTTGAGGATGTCAGGCCTCGTGGGTATTGTCATTCTGGGACTGAGCGTCGCCTCCGTGATGCTAGCGGTTGTGAACTTTGGGTTTGGAAAATCGGTGCGCGCTCCGGGTCGAATGATCGTGTTCCTACCCGGGCGACCAAGGAGAAGACCGTCCTCGGCCTCGGCGTTGTCTTGGTGGCATATGTGTTTTTGGGCGTGCTTCGTCTTGATCTCACGGCCTTGGAGATTGCTTCACCAACAGGGTCGGAAATGGCAATGCCGTCTGAATGCTCTTGAGACCAGGGAGGCCCTGGCCATCGATTCCCCGCATCCCAAGCCCAAAGGTAACTAGAGTTAGTTAACTTAGTTTGTTTCTGCTTGGTGAATTCTGATGCGTGCGTGCTGTTTGGATGCTTTACCATCGACCTCACAGCGGGCCTTAGAGAGGTTGCTACAGCAATGCTATGCAACTTGGCAGACTCCACGCCGTCTTTGCAGCTGGGAGGGCAGAGAGAGCTTCCCTCCTGCCGTTGGGCCTTGCTGCTGCACTACTACGCACCAAGCGTGTGAAATGACGAGTCCATCTTCAACTACAAGGTAAAAAGACGCACTCACCGTTTGTGTGTCTTTCTTCAGTCTGGCGAGTGAGTGGTGGGGTGCAGCCCATCCGTTGGTTGTTCAGCTATCCCAAGGGGCAGTGTTATGTGGAGCTCCCAAGTAGCATGGTCATCTCTCGGTTTTAGCCATCCCTAGGGGCTCACTATCGTTGTTTATAACAGCGGAAACTGCTTAAAAAAGGGGAGCAGTGCCCAACGTCATGGCATCGTGAGGGATTCAAACTTTTGGTTTCTGTATTAGCAGTTACACGTGTGCCATTCACATGTGGTAGTCATATACCACAGTAAAGCAGCCCTTAACCTTGCTGGATCGAGCAGGTTCGGGACTTGCGTGTACCATTGAGCCACTAGGCCGATGCCATGGGAACCATTCATGGCAGCGAGTCGGATGGGCGACAAAATAACAATACACTCGGCTCCGTGCTCGAGCCAGGAGCCGAATGGACATTTGATTGCGCAGCAAGGTGTGCGTTCCCTCTGAGGCACGGTAGTCACATGCCACAGTGAGTAGCCCCTAACAATTGCTGGACCGAGCAGGATTCGGGCCCTCTGTAGTAGCAGTTTTTACATGTGTGGACCATGAAGCCACTAGGCCAATGCCAGGGGAGCTATTCACGGCAGCCAGTCGGATGGATGGCAAATAACAATAGGCTCTGATCTGTGCTGGAGCCAGGAGCTGAATGGACATTCGATTTTGCAGCAAGGTGTGTGCATTCCCACTCGACAGCCGAAAAGTGTGTGTGCTGTCTGCTGGAAGGATCCTTTGCCTTCAGCCGCGGACTGTTTCTTCGGCAATGGGACCGGCATCCTAATGCTGGTGCGTAAATGCAGTGGTGCCAGAAGTCATCTGATCCCTTTCCTCGGCAACACGCAGGCGTGCTGTTCAGTGGGGGCAAACACTCTGCTTGCAGGTGAGAATGTTCCCATGGTCGGCTAGTTGGTCGCGTTGTGAGTGTGTGCTTCGGACCTCTGGGCGATAAATTGCCTAGGTTCTGGGACAATTTGAAGTCTGTTCCGATCGCTATACAAGGCTGTTAAGTGAAAGAGGTCTGCACATGCTTGGCGGCCATGGCCTGTGCTTGAGCTTGAGCTTGAGCTTGAGCTTGGAATCAAGCCAATCGAACGGCAACTTCAAACTACTCTTCTTCTTCATCATCATCGGTTTTCCCACTTGGGAGGTCGGAAATGTGCTTCGTCGCCATTTGTCTTCTGTCGAGCAGTTGTACCGCAATATGCCAAGGTGATAGACGAGACTGTTTGCCTGCATCCCTGCCCCTCTAAGCATTGATTGCCCCCATTCCTTCCTTCCCCCCACCCTCTCCCCCTGCCCCGCCCCACCCTCCGAAACAGATGTAATGCTGCAAGAATTGATTGGTCAGCAGAGCCCTTGCTCGTCGACCAAGTCTTCTCTTTGTGTGAATGCACTCCTCGTCAGTTTGCAGTTTTTGACAAGCTCATCGTTGTTGTGGGAAGAAAGGTTTTAGACAGACATGCACACATTCTAGAGGGTTTTAGAAATTTAGACAGACGTGCATCTAGAAGTTCTGTGCTCGCAGTTTTTGGCAAGGCTGATCCTTGTGCGAAGTCTTCTCTTTGTGTGAACGCACTCCTCGTCAGTTCGCAGTTTTTGACAAGCTTGTCGTTGTTGTGGGAAGAAAGGTTTTAGACAGACATGCACACATTCTAGAGGGTTTTAGAAACTTAGACAGACGTGCAATAAGTCTAGAACTTCTGTGCTCGCAGTTTTCACCAATGCTGATCCTTGTGCAAAGAAAGGCTTCGGACAGACGTGCGCAAATTCCATAAATTCTGTGTTCAGCAGGATTCACTAGAAGAAGAAAGGTGTGAGGTAGACGCGTCCAAGATCTAGAAATTCTGTCTTTGGTGGCATCCACTAGGAAGGCTATAGACGGATATGTGCAAACTCCAGGAATTCCGTCTTCGGTGTCACATCCACTAGCAAGGTTGTGTAGACAGATGTGTGCAAATTGGAGAACTTTTTTCTTTTTGGTGGAGTGGAGTCAGTGGACTAGAAATGTTATAATGTTCAAGGTGCTTTAGCATTGGTCCCTGGTGTCACCGGATCGTCAGGCTGATGTTTTGGCGGCAGAGGGCTTCATCATCCTGTGCGCCCCAAGCCTCCCACAGTGGGCGCCCACTCTCTCAAGCGTTTGGCAGTCGGCATGGTTGAACGTGACACTGTGACCGCGATGACTGTGACAGTGTTCGATAGTGAAATGAAGGGCCACAAATGTAGGCATTACATGTGCTGATTGTTCTTTCCTACTTTAGATAGTGGCGGCGTTTTGCGACTCCGAGTTGCCATGCACAGCGAAAGACCATCATTGTATGTTAATTGGCAGCATCTTGAACTACCGTCTTCACCTGAATAGAACGTACCGTCGTTTGCACTGCATTGCGAGTGAAAGTTGCGCCATATACGGGTATAATGACCGTACGTTCTACTCGGCAAAATGGGTGGGGGGGGGGGGGGGGGGGGGCGCGCGGAAGATGGAAGGGGGGGGGGGCGGAACAGCAGCGACTGCAGGCTTGTCTTCTGGCTGGTAGTGGATGGGGCTAGTTTTCTCATGATGTTGTGGGGCCTCTTTTCGGTATGTGGCTGTGATGGGGGGCTGTTGTTCTTTTCCGTTCTGGTCTGTTTTGTAGAACATTTTCTTTCCTCATCCGGAGGGGAGAGTTTCCTTTGTCTTTCCTGATCGGTAGGGGAGAGTTTTTAACTGCAGTGTATAAATGCGGGCAACGGCAGTGTTGTTTGCATTTGTGAGTCCTTGTCGAGTTTACTTTTGAGATGCTTTACATGTAATTTAGCTTTTCTGAGATGTCACAAGGAAAATGTTGATCTGGTGGGAGGAGGATTTCCTGCGTTCAGGTTCTCGTCAACTTCACGGCAAGTCATACTGATATACCTTTTTTTTTGGGGAGGAAATAAGGCAGATCCTCATCAGTCGGATGATTGCCCACCTCTGGTTTGACGCCTTTGCAAGGTGTACTTGGCAGAGGACTCCACCCACCTGTAGCTTTGGGAGGAGGACGATTATTTGTACTGTCATTAATTTATTGATTTGAAATGTAAAGGTGTTCACTGTTCAGATAAGGGCAACTAGTCGTTTTTTCCTTTTTCGGACCATTTCTGGATTTATGCGAATCATCCTCGAAAGCAGGGGCCATGCTAATCTTCTTTCTCTCTGTATCGTTCCAATTTTAATGGATGTCCCTGAGGACTGGGGCATCTAATCTAATGCACCCAGTGGAGTGTTCCTTGATGGTTTGGGTACTCTGTCCACCTAAGGACAATATTGGAAAAAAAACAGCTCAGGCTTCATTCTTCACCATGCATGCTAGCTCCTTTTCAGCAGACAATGACCCGCAGCTCCACGAATGATCAACAGTCACACATCCGCTGAGAGGAGCTCTCCAGGTCTCATGTCAAGATTGTGTGTGTGTGTGTGTGTGTGTGTGTGTGCGTGTGTGCGTGTGTGTGTGTGTGTGTTCTCCAAGGGGGGGGTGCTGGGGGGGCGAAGGGGGAGTTAGAAATGCCAGATGCGAAAGGGCTTTCCTTCATTTTATGGGCTCATCTGGCAGTCAATTGCCCCCAGATGGGGCAATTGATGCTACCAGAGGGCCCTCCACCCATAATGGGGGGACGTGTAGAGTGGATGCTACTGTACTAGTACCCGGACCAATGCTCCCCAAAAGTGAGGATCGGAGCTGGTTCAGCTCAGATTTTTTCTTTCTTTTTTTCTTTCTTTCTTTCTTCCTTCTTCTTCTTCGTCGTCCTCGCCACCATCATCATCATTATCTTATTCTTTGGTATGCTGATGGTCACCAAAAGCACTGTCACATTGCCAACCATTGGAGAAATGTCCCTGCTGCAAACCATGTTCAGCATCCTGTAACAATGGTGTTGCATTGTAAGCATGCATTCTACCACCTTCCTCTCAACTTCAGTCCCTTTTGCGAGTGTAAGGGATTTGTCTATCCTCCCTTTCCATCCTTCTTTTCCTTGTTCTTGAGAACCCCAATGTCGGATCTTAAACCACCAGTACACGGCCCTGGTCTGTTCGTCGCCTACTCCGAAACTTTCGCGGCTCGGGCCGACCGGACCTCAATGGCTGGCCCTACGAGCCGAAACAGAAAACAAGTGCGCCGCTGGCGGTTCAGAAAAGCTGGGTGCGCAATGCCGCGCCCCAACCTGGGTGAACTGGTGGTTTTAAGTCTTGTCACTGCAGCAGGGTCCCCTTCTTCCAGATGCTTAGCACCGTCCAATAGCCATGACAGTCCAACCTTCACTACCAGCAAGGCAACCATCCCAGCTGGCTGCCCCATGAAAGTAAACCATGAAAGGTCGTCCCTCCTCACTCCTCACACACCCTCTTCCCCCTAGTACACAATATCTCTCATGTTAACATTTCCTGCTTTCAAGCGAAACTTTGTGTGTGTGTGGCATTGGTTCCCTCCACCGCTTTCTTTGCTGTTTCGGAACGTCTGGTCAATGGCTCCCCCTGCTGGTGTTTCCTCCCGTGTTCATCCTTAAACCACCAGTACTTGGCCCATATGTCGGCCCGGGGGTGTTGTCGTTAACGCCCTGCAAGTTTAGGAGGCCTGGGGTACCGGACCTGAAAGGCTGACGCCGCCATCCAAAACAATTTTTTTTTTTTGTTTCGCTGCCGGGTCGGCGCTAAACGGCGCGCAGGGCATATTCTGGCTTGCCATCGATAACTGGGCCGAGTACTGGTGGTTTAAACCACAAGTTCACACAAACCTAACTAATGTTCTTGCTGGCATTCGCAGTCAGAGCGATTCGATTCGGGGCTGGGCCGGTAGCGAAAGCGGCAGGCCACTTTGTAAAAGCGCAGTTGCAGGCTCGCGAGCCTCCGAAGTTAGCTTACTAGCTTCGTCAACTTAGGCGCCTGCCAACTAGGGGGGGGGGGGGGGGGGGGTTAAGATGTCATCACATAGGTTGCTGGGGAATTCAACCAATCAAGCCTGTCCGCTTTTCCGATGTCGATGCACTTCACTTGCTAGGTCAGCGAAGGAGGCCAAACCCCCTCGATCTCCAGAAGAGACTCCCTTCCTCACATTCGCAGGCATTGGGAGTGTTTTCTCATGCATGTTTGCATAACACCAGTTTTCTGGGCATTTCATTGTCTCTCATGGAATATGGAGTTTCCATGAGATGTTTCAATTTAACTGTTGTAGTCGCGATTCTCATTTCCGATTATAACGAGTTTACAAACTTTACTATCAGATTCTTTGATTAGCTGTTTTAAGTTTATCCTCCTGTGGCCGGGCGCATCATCTTTTGCTCTCGGTTGTGGTTTCGTAGATGCGACTTCCGTTCTTTGAAATGACCTGCGGGTAGGAGAGCCTCGCTCGCTCTGTGCTATAGCAATGGGGCTTGAAGGGAGTGAAGGGTGTGAGAGGGGTCTGCGGACCCACATTTGTTCTAGCATGTTTTTTTGTTCTAGCATGTTTTTTTTTTTTTAATGCTGACAACTTTGAAGTGGGATGACTGTCTGACCCAGTTTTGTTGTAAGCTTGATTTTTCACTTTTGAGCGTATGACGGGTTACGCACAGGTTAGTTTCATTTTTTTTCATTAGAAAGCCATTTGTTGGGTTTTAGCGACATGGAATACTGACTGGTTGGCCTCGCGGCATCTCGCCTTGGGACTGTACAGTAAGGGATAGCTTTTCATCTGGTTATGTGTCATGGAAGATTCTGAGGTATCGGATGCTGCGGGATTACCTTCAAAAGGGCAAAGAGGGCCGTAGTTCAGCGGGTAGGGCGCATCGGTAGCGAATGTGCATTGTGGTCTGAGGTTGTGGGTTCAGAATTCTCGAACCCTCAACTCTGCGCATTCTGCTGGCGGGCGTCGCCTGACGCAGGCCAGGGACACGCCGGGTGCGTAAAGTGGTCTTATCGTCAGTGGTGGAGCACCGGTGCCGATCGACTGACATGCCAGGTCCCACAGGTCTGTTCTGCCGCATCCTGCATGTCTCTCGGACCGGAGGGCGTCGACTGATGTGGCCACTTGCACGTTCCCCTTGGGTTGTGCGGGTCTTAGGGGGCTGGGCGCGGGCAGGAGGTGGGCTCGGTAGGGGAAGAGTTGGGGGAGGAGTGAGGGCACTCTACCTTCCTCACAGGCATGAGCTAGCGGCCCTAGTGCTGACAGGCGTCAGTGGACTCCCTCCCGGCAGGTCGCCATAGAAGGATTCGAGCATGTGTCCGATTTCGATCGTAGAGAGCCCCGGCGCAGCAGTCAGGGAAGCGCCGATCCAGGGTCAATACTCCCCCGTGTGTGTTGGTTGAGGTTGAGAACTGTCCTCGAGTGTCTCCTGTGTCGTGGGTGAGTCCACTTCTCTGGCAGGTAGGGTGAACTCGGCGCATGCACCCTTTTGTCGGACACCCTCCCTCAAGCACTGCCCCCCCCACCATCCCACAACCTTTTTGAGAATATAATCTTATTTGTTTTTTGGTGTGGCAAGCTTTGTTTGGCATGGGGAGGTACAGATGGTTCCCACCTGGACATGATTGCCCGCCCGTGAGTGGGATGTAGATAGCTGTCTGACCTGTTCAGTTGGTATCCCGATTGGTAGGTGAGGTCTGCTTAAACCGTCAAGCCCCCTAGGCTATGTCAACGAAACCGACACTGCTTTTGTGGAGCCCGACCCACCGAACCAAGAAGATGTAGGGCTACTGGTAGTGGTAGCAGGAAGCCAAAAAATGCATTGTTTTGCGGCCAGAACCTTTTGTACATGCGCATCTTTGTAGTACTTTTTGAAGACGAGCACTCAATTTATGCCTCTCGAGTTTTCTTCAGACCTCCTCATACAATATTATTAGCACCAGTGTTAACTAACCAAATGTTTGCCGTCTACCCCCCACCTGCTGAACATTCAGGCGTTCGGCCAAACTTTTAAAAGTCTATGAAGATGTGGGGGTCGAACAGTTTGGGTACGCCGCCGGCTTTTCTTTTCTTTCCTCTTCTTTTTTAAATCAATCAATCAATCAATCAATCAATCAATCAATCAACAGTCTCTCAACACACATACACACACACAATCAAAGACACAGAGGCGTGCAGGCGCTGAAACAGCATGCTTGTGCACAGACACAGGCACACCCACACATGACTGTGCCAGACTGTTTAGTCAGCGACTTTCACCGACTCATCAGGAGGCTGAACCCCGACAGTCTGCCCACGATGCATGTGACTGATGGATAAGGACTCTC